AAACATATTTCTGTAGATAAAAGAATATATTTTACGGGCTTGCCCGGTTTACCCTGTTACCCGATAGCCTTTCAGTTATATTATTTTATCACTTCCGTCATGCGCTCGCCACCCGCTCATGGCGTCATTCCTTACACCGAATAGCTCGTTTGGCTGGTGTAGCTATTTCAGTTGTTCTACCGACTGACTATCGGATATTTTATCACTGAATAGCTCGTTTGGCTGGTGTAGCTAATTCAATTGTTTTACCGACTGACTATCGGATATTTTATCACTGAATAGCTCGTTTGGCTGGTGTAGCTAATTCAATTGTTTTACCGACTGACTATCGGTTATTATATCACTGAATAGCTCGTTTGGCTGGTGTAGCTAATTCAATTGTTTTACCGACTGACTATCGGTTATTTTATCACTGAATAGCTCGTTTGGCTGGTGTAGCTATTTTAGTTCTCAAATGTAGCTAATGAGTTTCTTGGCTTACCCGACTGTACTATCCCGCGATACCGTACTAAAGCACTACCAAAGCTCAGGGCCTCCTTTCCTCACATACTTTGTCGAACTCGCACATAACGACATAAGGAGTTCAGTCAAACCTTGCCCCCTCTCATTGATTCTATTTTCTCTGACCCCACTTTCACCGGCCTTGTAACTACATATAGTAAGTAATTTCCATCTAATCTTGCCTGCTGGCAGGGTCTTAGTTGGTTGTGTATGTATGTACATGTATACCTATTCTTAAAACCTTATTTTTGTCGCATTTTTGCTCCATGTTGGCCCCTGTTCTGCTCACAATCTTAGTGAGCTTTTGGTGGTTTTTAGTTCTCAGCTTGTAATGTCGCTTATGTGATTACATATTTCTCAACATCATGACCACGTATATATATAACTGCTGTATACTGTTGACCGGATAGATAAATCCCATGGGGATTTTTCTTACGTATGTCGTCATCACAATGTCAATTCTATTCATGTCTAATAATTTACTTTAATTCAAGTTCAAGTTCATAGTCAAGTTTACGTTCAAGTCCAAGTTCAGTACGCAATTAAATGGTTGTGTTTCCGCCAAACATGAAATCCGTATCCGCCTTCTACCTTGTGTTTTCCCTTGACTTGACTGGGACTCGCTTAGCGTAAAACTGATTTTTGTGCCGGGACAAAAATGTGGTTTTCAGCGGTGCGTGGCCCAGATCAAAATTCAATCCAGATTGGCATAACTTGTGCACGCAGCTCGTGACCGACCAAAATCTAACACATATGGGGACACATCCTCGATAAGGTAACGCACTCTGATTGGCTGAGATGACATGGCCTCACAAACAAACAAATACGGGCAGTGGGAATCATTCATTCCATCCAGATCACACGTAGTAGATCACACGAAAGCTCCCTCGTCTGATCACACTCTGGATATTTCTTCTCAAAATTTCCCCCCCACTCCCTCCCTAAAATAACATTATCTGTTCTGTTGCAAACTGTCGTATCCGTTGGTACAGTTTCATTTTGCTGTACTGATACGCCTTAATCATACTTCCTTACCTCTGTGAACATTGATCGCAACTGATGGTGCAGATGACTTTTATTCCTGCACTGTTGCGCCTATTTCGTATCTGATGGTACAGTTTAATGATAGCTGTACCGATACGCTCCCAATCTATTATCTATGTGAACATTGATCGCAACTGATGGTGTAGATGACTTTTATTCCTGCACTGTTGCGCCTATTTCGTATCTGATGGTACAGTTTAACTTTAGCTGTACTGATACGTTCCCAATCTATTTTCTATGTAAACATTGATCGCAACTGATGGTGTAGATGACTTTTATTCCTGCACTGTTGCGCCTATTTCGTATCTGATGGTACAGTTTAATGATAGCTGTACCGATACGCTCCCAATCTATTTTCTATGTGAACATTGATCGCAACTGATGGTGTAGATGACTTTTATTCCTGCACTGTTGCGTCTATTTTGTATCCGATGGTACAGTTTAATGATAGCTGTACCGATACGCTCCCAATCTATTATCTATGTGAACATTGATCGCAACTGATGGTGCAGATGACTTTTATCCTGCACTGTTGCGCCTTTTCTCTTGTATCTGGTGGTGTAATTTTTCTCATAGCTGCACCGATACATCTTCGATACAAATATTTACCCCTCTATTTCTACACATATCTACGCATTTTCTTGTGTCATTTAGGCGTTTTACTTTACGTCAGTAACTATCTGCATTACTTATGATTTCAAATTATACACGCCACCGGTCTTATCCGCGCAAACATTCTGCCACGCCTTGTCTCACGGAAAAATTTGCGGTTCATATGCGGGCGGAAACACAACCTTCTACATACTTACCTCGTTAGCCACTTCCTACTCTAATTTTATTTCCTCCCGAGTCCCCAGCTATGCCGGCCACGCGGTCCCAGCGCCGCTCAGGAGGGGGTGCCGTGGACGACCCGCCACCCTCTGTCACCACGGTTCCCAAGAAGCCGCCGAAAAAGCCAAAAAAAGCCGACCGCCGGCCAGATTGAGGATATCCAGGCCCAGCTGAGCGCCCTCACGTCGGTAACAAGACGCTGCAGCAAAGCCTGGCCACCATCGCCGCACGACCCCCCGCGCCGCCAGCCCCGCCTCACCCGACGCTTCCGCCCGCACATCTGGAAAACCTGCAAACGCCGACCACTGATTCCTACTGTGCCGTAGCAAATCTGAGATCCTACCTGTTGCTCAGGGGAGAGTGTGCGGGTTGCCTCTTTCTCCTTAGCGACGGTCGCCCCGTTTCTAGTGACCATTTCTCTAACACCCTCCGCAAATGCCTAGAACGTGCGCACTTAGACTCTCAGTCCTTTAATGCTCACTCCTTCCACATAGGAGCTGCCACACACGCCGCTTCGACGCCCAACTACGGGCGCTGGGGCGATGGTCTTCAGATGCTTTTAAAAACGCACATACGCCCCTAGTACTCCATTCCCCCGACTTTCGCATATTGTCACATGTTAGGCTATATGCCACACAGCCACTATTGTCTGTGACACGGACTTAATATTATTTTCCAACTTAGATCACTCCCTGTTAGACCTGTTAGATCGTAGTTTGTAGCCACTGTAGTAGTTAGGCTACTTAGTGCACAGCCCTCATTGAGTGTCTCATGGACTTTCAATTACTTCCAACTTAGATCACTTCCTATTAGGTCTTAGTTCGTTATCACTGTAATAGTTAGGTAGTTACATTAGTGAAAAAATTGTAGTGCAGTTACTGTAGTTAGGCTACATAGCACACACCCCTTACTGTTCCTAACTTAGATCACTTTTTGTTAGATCAAAGTCTGTAGCTACTGTATTACTTATGCTCCTTACCACATATCCGTCTTCAGATATCGCACATACTGTAAATGTGTCTGTAGCGTCAGACCCAGAAGTCCTAGCTACGTACTGTATTACTTATGCTCCTTATAAATTACCACATATCCGTCTTTATATATCGTACATACTGTACATGTGTCTGTAGCGTCAGACCCAGAAGTCCTAGCTACTGTATTACTTATGCTCCTTACCACATATCTGTCTTTATATCTTGTACATACTGTAAATGTGTCTGTAGCGTCAGACCCAGAAGTCCTAGCTACGTACTGTATTACTTATGCTCCTTATAAATTACCACATATCCGTCTTTATATATCGTACATACTGTACATGTGTCTGTAGCGTCAGACCCAGAAGTCCTAGCTACTGTATTACTTATGCTCCTTACCACATATCTGTCTTTATATCTTGTACATACTGTACATGTGTCTGTAGCGTCAGACCCAGAAGTTCTTGCATAATATCCGGTAGTATGCTCTCTTTGACAAAACCTCCAGGCGACCTGTACAATTTCTACATCAGGAGTGAGAAAACACTCTTTTCTGCCGTTGCAGCATTGGGAAAATCCTACCTACCCCCTCCCCTTCTTCCCACTTTGGCCCCCGGGGAGAAGAGGAGTTAGGGGTTGGGTAGCCGGCTGGCGGTGTCTTCCTATTCGCATGCTTGAACGATTTCTGGCAACTGTGATTTTGTTATAAGAGCATTCTGCACGATTTTCACTTTCTTCTCATGTTATGTCCTTTCCTCTTTCCTTCATGCATTCCCGTAGTGGTAGTGGTTTTTAGTTCTCAGCTTGTAATGTCGCTTATGTGATTACATATTTCTCAACATCATGACCACGTATATATATAACTGCTGTATACTGTTGACCGGATAGATAAATCCCATGGGGATTTTTCTTACGTATGTCGTCATCACAATGTCAATTCTATTCATGTCTAATAATTTACTTTAATTCAAGTTCAAGTTCATAGTCAAGTTTACGTTCAAGTCCAAGTTCAGTACGCAATTAAATGGTTGTGTTTCCGCCAAACATGAAATCCGTATCCGCCTTCTACCTTGTGTTTTCCCTTGACTTGACTGGGACTCGCTTAGCGTAAAACTGATTTTTGTGTCGGGACAAAAATCGATATTTTTTAACTGTGACGATTTTTTAACGAAAAATGACAGAAAAATAGCTGTTTCTGACGTTTTTGGCCCAAAAAAACAATGTAACTGTCATTTAAAACAAAATAGCCTCGGACAAAAATAATAAATAGGGGGTTGGCTTTCTACTTGTAAAATATCATGATGAAAGGTGTTGTTACCGCTTGCGTGGAGATGCCATAAAGTAAACAGCTTTTTTTTAAACCAAAATGTTGATTTTTAACCCAAAAATCCAGAAGTAGTAAAAACCAAATAACCTTTATTCAATGTGTTTCAAGGACTACTAGAACTGTGTAAAGTTTAGTTGTGGTGCGACCAAGCTATCAAAAGTTACAGGCATATGTATGAAATACTACTCATCGTATGCCATAGGCTGCCTTAACCCAACCGAGTATGCCTACAAATCAATTGAAATAAAAAAAAAAAAATAAGATAAACTATGCCTATGGGCGTAGTCCTGAGACTCTGATTTAGGTTTGAAAATGAATTTTACCTGACCCACCTTGTAGTTGGTCAGAATAGCTTTACAAGAAACAAAATGTTTGCTGATAAGTATTGTCAGTTTGGACAATGTACTTTTTATACTAGTCACATTAATGTGGCCACTAACCTAGTAGTAGAAAAGACGGTGGAAACCGGCTCATTATAAAACATTGAACAACACTGAAAGCTGCAATTTGTTAAGTAACCGCTAGAGCTTCTCACTCAAGAAATAGAAATGCAAAGGGTGGGGTCAGTGCATGATTTTATTTTTAAGCATACTTATTAATGTTAAGAAATAAAGTATCCATGCAAATAATGTACTTGACATTCATATATGCATATTATATGCATGGGTAAATTTTTTATTATAATTTAAATCAATTTTTGCTCTGACTGACACTGTTTAAAATTTGTCACATCAAGTTTCAAGTTTATTTTAAGAGGACATATCTCAGATCCGTGAATCTGTTTTTCCTGGGCACATTACAAAATACATTCATAAAAATAACAACGTGAGCGCAACAATAATAGAACAATAAGTGAAAAATAGTGTTGGTATTAATTGTGTAAAGGCAAGGTTCATTTTTAAAAACTTCGAATTCAGCAGTGATGATGACTTTGCTTATTCGATAGTTTCTGCGGTAGTTCACAAACGTAAAGACAGCATTCAATTTCAATTTTAAAAAGCAATGTTGAACATATCACTCTGGAGAGGATGGGATAATTTGCTTATTTGATCATTTCTGCAGTAGTGCATGACAAATTTCTCATTTCCTTTCAATTGTTCACTCTAACATCTGAATTTGCGTACAATTCTTATACCATTAAGAAATAACGTATGGAGGAGTCTAATAAAGAATTTTAGTTTTAGAAATTTTAAGCCCCTAAACAACTTTGACACATACTAGAGATACTATTTAACTTTATATAGCTTCACATTTCTCTTCATTAATGTAATTTACAAGGTTAGAATTTAAATGATTCTTCAAGTAATCAATCATATCATCTGGTGTCCTTCTGGCATATTACAACAACAAGTTTTGAACTGCATTTCTCCACAACCCACAAACTACGTTAAGAAATGTCAATGCCTCAGTTTGCCCAACCCTAAATTTGTTGGCCTAAAAGTGTTTTTTTTTAATAACATATAGGTTGTTACAAATTTTAGGTTACGAGTATATATTATGTCTATGTTAGAGAAAGGCTACTAGAATTACTAACCAGTTACTAGATGAAATGCATTTATAATATACAGAGCAGCTTTCTATTCGGGAGTTCATTTACAAAGATTCACGTTTTTGTACTAAAATTCACAAAGCCTCAGTTTGCCCAATCCTAAATTAATGAGCAAATTGCAAGTGTTTTTTTTTTTGTTTTGTTTAATTGTTTACATCCCATTAGAGGTTACGGGTAGACAACTTAAATTTACTAAAAAGTTACTAGATGAACTTCATTTTATGACACATATCGCAGTTTTTGTCAGAAGTTGACGTACAAAGCTTCCAGGTTTCTGTACTGAAATTTACAATGCTAGTGGTTTTTTTTTACATTCCATTAGAGGTTGTTAGAGAAAATTCACTAAAAAGTTACTGGATAAAATGCATTTATGACATATACAGCAGTTTTCTATGCAGAAGTACACACCGGTTCTATTTGTAATATCCTTGACTTGATATAAAGATAACTCTAATCTGGACGAAAACGGAGTCTAGGAGAATGATCTGCATTTTACTGCCCTGTTTTTTAGGATGTAAAAAAAAATTAGTCCCTCCCAGCGTCAAATGTCTACCATGTGTAGATGTATGTAGCTGTGAAATCTGGATTCTATTTCTACGTTTTTGTACAGAGAATCAAGCAGTGAAATATACATTCAACTTCCAGAAACATTTAGGTTTCTGCTAAATTCTGGTAAAATTAAGTGCAGAGGCAGTTGCAAATGTGACATACGAAAGGCTTTTGGTTTCCTTAAAACATGTTTCCCTAGACCTTCAGGTGTTTGGCTCTTAAAGCGACAAACAGATGAGATATTTCAATACTTTCAGCAAGCACTCATTGATATTTATTGATGTCTTTGAATGGTAAATAAACAAATAAATGATCTAGATGAATTAAAATCCTGCAGATTAATAATCTCAAGTTCTGCCTATGATGTTTCAATAGTCTCAAAAACAACTATTGCTCTTTTGTCGATTTTCGATTCTCCAACCTGCGTGTGAAAAATTTGGACTTAATCATGGTGCTAACTCTGTGTTCATTATAATTTCTGTTATTGTTATTATGTCATTGTTAAGATTATTTTCATTTCGTCAAGCTCGAAAGTAATGGCTTTATTGGAGGCTTTTCCGTTGTTTATGTTATTTTCTATTTGTACAAGCCGTGTTGGCTTTTCAGTTTACTTTTGTATTATTTACAGTTATTTTGTTGAATAAAAAAAAATCATGGTGCTTAAAAAATTTTCCTACATAGAATTTATGATATGTGTTATGGTGTAAAGATCAGTGATCTGCCTAAAGATGATCACTGGCCATTTCTGTACATGT